ATTAATAGGAGAACCAGGAGTAGGTAAAACAGCAGTAGTTGAAGGACTTGCACAACGAATAGTTAAAGGAGATGTTCCAAGTAATTTACAATGTCGAGTTATTGGATTAGATATGGGAGCATTAATAGCAGGAGCACAATATAGAGGACAATTTGAAGAAAGATTAAAAGCAGTAATAAAAGAAGTTAAAGAAAGTAAAATACCTATTATATTATTTATAGATGAAATTCATACAGTATTAGGAGCAGGAGCAACAGGAGAAGGAGCAATGGATGCAGCTAATATTTTAAAACCAATGTTATCAAGAGGAGAATTACGATGTATTGGAGCAACAACATTAGAAGAATATAGAAAATATGTAGAAAAAGATCCAGCATTTGAAAGACGATTCCAACAAGTTTATGTAAAAGAACCAAGTGAAGAAAATACATTATACATTCTTCGAGGAATACGAGAGAAATATGAAAATCATTATGGATTAACAATTACCGATTCAGCATTAGTTTCAGCAACAACATTAAGTAAAAGATATATTAATGGAAGATTTCTTCCAGATAAAGCAATTGATTTAGTTGATGAAGCATGTGCTACATTATTTACACAAAAGAATTCACAACCAGAAGAAATAGATAAATTAGAAAGAAGAGAAACACAATTAAATGTAGAGAAAATAGCATTAGAAAGAGACATTAAAGAAAGTGATGAAGACCATAATAAAATGATTAAAGAAAGACTACAAGAAATTGAAAAAGAATTAAGTGAAAATAAAGAGAAATTAACAAAATTACGAATTAATTATGAAAAAGAAAAAGGAGGAAGTGAAGAAATGAAAGAACTTGCAACGAAAATAGAAGCTATGAAACATAAAGCAGAAAGTACTAAAGATTTAGAAGTAGCAGCTGATTTAAAATATTATGCAATACCAGAAGCAGAAAAACGAATGAAGAATTAAAGGAACAAAATAAAGAAACAACAATGATATCATTACAAGTTACACCAACACAAATAGAAGAAGTAGTAGTAGATGACAGGAATTCCTGTTACTAAAATGAATCAAACAGAGAAAACAAGATTGATGAAATTAGAAGAAGAACTACATAAACGAGTAATAGGACAAAATGAAGCAGTAACAGCAGTTAGTGATGCAATTATTCGAAGCAGAGGAGGATTAGGAAATGAAAAACGACCAACAGGTAGTTTTATGTTTTTAGGACCAAGTGGAGTAGGAAAAACAGAATTAGCAAAAGCATTAGCAGTTGAGTTATTTGATGACGAACAAAATATAGTTAGAATAGATATGAGTGAATATATGGAAAGTCATAGTGTATCAAGATTAATAGGAGCACCACCAGGATATGTAGGATATGAAGAAGGAGGACAATTAACAGAGGCAATTCGTAGAAAACCATATAGTGTAATATTATTTGATGAAATTGAAAAAGCACATCCACAAGTATTTAATGTATTATTACAATTATTAGATGAAGGAAGATTAACAGATGGAAGAGGAAGAACAGTTGATTTTAAGAATACTATTGTTATTATGACATCAAATTTAGGAAGTGAAATAATAATGAAAGGAGTAGAAACAGAAGGACAAGTTAGTAGAAAAGTTAAAGAAACAGTAATGGAAATAGTAAAGAAAACATTTAAACCAGAGTTTCTTAATAGATTAGATGATATTATAGTATTCTCACCACTTTCAGAGAAAGAATTAAAAGAAATAGTTAAAATACAAATGGGAGAAGTGATTAAAATGATTAAAAAGAGATATCCATTAAGTGAGGTAGAAATGACAGAATCAGCAATAGAAGGAATCATTAAATCAGGATATTCAATA